CTACTACTAATACTAGTACCACTACAAGAACTACCAGTAGTAGTAGTAGTACTAGTACTACTACTTCTACTAGTTGTAGTACCAGCAGCAGTAACAATATCCTCACTCTTCAGCAGTAGTTAAAAAAATAGTGCTACTTCTACACTGCAGCACTAAGATGAAGAGGAGTGGGAGGAGAGTTTGTTCCTCCTCCTCCTCATTCTCATCATCATGATGTTTCACCCCATCATATCACCAGGAAAAGGAGGAGTTGACGACAACAACCACCACCATCACCACATTCCTTCTGGTGGTGTTCTTTCTTTACTACTAGTACTAGTACTACTAGTAGTACTACTACTAGTACTCTAGTAGTATATCTTGAGTTAGTACTAGTCACTTTGCCTGTCACTTGAATTCCACAGTAAATGAAAGCTAATACTAGTTGTAGTCATACTGCTACTAGCTTTGATAAATTCAGGTTATGTACTCTACTACTACTTCTACTAGCATTACCACTACTACTACTACTAGTACTAGTACTAGTACTACTACTACTACTAGTGCGGTTCGGTTTTACTTCTAGTAGTCTCGTACCGTAGAATAATATGGAGGGATACCGTTATTCAAACGGTAAATGCCAACAACAACAGATGTTATGCCGATACGTAGTAGGCCTGAAATATGTATATTCATACACGAATATTGGTGATGAATTTATTTGCTAAATACCGAAATCAATCCGTTGGACAGCATTCCGATGAGACGATGAGTAGGAACTCTTGCACGTTGGTTCCTTCCCCAACGTTTAAAGCATCCCCGTTGGCTTGACAACCGACGGCTAGAACGTTTCCAGTAGTGAAGAAGCAAATCAACTAGTCCGCTTCACGATCCTTCCTGTTCAGCTCCATCCGTATCAGAGGGAAGAACACACTCTCCGCAAGAGAACAGTACAGTGACATCATTTTTCACTATCATTGGAGAACATTGCAGTAGTTTCTGTTGCGACCATGCCTTCTTCTATGGGAGATGTGACTGCCATGGGGAATGCTGGCAGTGGCATGGGGGTTCCCGGCTCTGGCTTTCCGCCACAACAGCACCATCACCATCCCCACCAAATCTCACAGTTTCTCCCTCCCATGGATCGATGCGCAGGTTGCGGTGCAGTAGACACACCGCTATTGGCTTGCGACGACCTTGACAGGGCAAGCGGCAAGAAAAAGGATATAGTTATAGATCCTTCTCAACGATTGAGGTACGTAGCTGCAGTTGTGACTTTCCTAGGTTTCATGCTCTCAAGATCATTTTTCACGATGACAGGACCTGATCTAGGTATCATGGATGCCATGGTATTGTCAAACAACGACTTTCATCCTGGTTATTCTGACGAATGTAATTGTTGTCATCCCGTATTCATGCATCACTTTGGTGCCGATCACAAATCATACGTTGCAACCTCAAAATCTTTCAACAATCGATAATTACACTACAAACGCAAATGAATCGTAAAACCAAACATCAATTTTGACTCTGTAGGTTTTGTGCTAATTGTATGATCGGGAAAAAGGTTAGGGTCTTCTGGCCAGTCGATAACAGCTGGTATATCGGAACGGTTCAGCAATTCAATGCAGTCACTGGAGAACATCTATTGAAATATGAAGATGACGATACCGAATGGGTTCATATTGGAGAAAGTAACACGACGATGAATCCGTCCGATTTTACTCCTCAGCAACCTCTATCAGCTCAAGTTGGTATTGTTGCACCGCAACCAAATAACTTCGTTCCAAGGTCTGAAGCTGGTTCTTCCCCGGCTGATAAAAAATCTGCGATGGTACCGGCGTCCCGAATCAAAGATGGAAACACCACACCAACAATTGCGAATGCTGATCCAAAGAACAGAGTTGGGTCGTCATCAGCATCCGGTGGGCCCACGACCACGAAAGGAACCGACACTCAATCAGCTGCTGGCCCTGGACTAGAAACAGAAAACCCGTCCAATGCACTTCATACAACGTATCGAACATTCGGTTCAGCGCAAATACAGGGAAATTCGTACCCACCCAATTCCTCTTCGGGACAACGCCACCTTCCTCCTCATCTTGCTCACCACCAACCTCATCACATACCTCAAGGGTACGGTCACGGGCCGGGAGGTCCTCCACAGCCAACGCCTTATGGCAGTTTCTCGTCGTCGTCACTCGGGCATGGGCCACAACCTCTAGGGTACGGGTACCCTGGTCACCCTGGCATGGGCATACCTCAACGTCACGGAGCGGTTGGAGCTTTACCACCGCACCATTACGGTGGAATGCAAGGCCACCCGCCTCATCCTCATCGGATAGAAAATCCTGCTCAAATTTCTAATGCGCCAGGCTCAGGGGGGAATGTTGGTGCGAATGGAAAGAAAAAGACAGGGCCTAAAGCTTGGACGAAAGAGGAGGATGCACTGTTGCTCAGTATTGTTCAAAGCATGCGAGTGCCGATGAAATGGTCGTTGGTGGCACAAAGCTTGCCAGAGCGAACGGGAAAACAGTGCAGAGAACGCTATGTAAACCACTTAAACCCGCGTCTCAAAGTCGCCGACTGGAGCCCGACTGAAGATGCCACCATATTTCACTTATACAACACTATCGGCAGTCACTGGGCAAAAATGTCTAAAATCATTCCCGGTCGGACGGACAATGGAATCAAAAACAGGTTCCACAACCTGCGAAGGCAATTGGAACGAGAGGACGAGCACCGGCTCCGTCTGAATGCCTCAAGAGATTTTCCAGAAGAGATCCGACTTGAGCTCATCAGAGAGTTTCCCGAGGAGTTACGAGGGAAAGCGGCTGAACTATGGGACATTAAATCTGGGTTGAGCGTTTTAGCCGCGCAAAGTGTATTGGGTGGGGATAGAACCAGAACAGCAGGGCGTTTCGGACCTTTCCGTGAGGCAGTACCCGGAGAGGATATCTGCGTCCGGTGTGGTTTTTGCCTTCCTAGTGTTCAAACKGGGAGCCAAATCTGTACAAAAACGGGTTGGTGTCAAAGCTGCGCACGAATTCCACCGCACGTGAGCGGAAATATGCTGCGGGAATGCTTGAACCTTCGCAGGTGTCAAAATGCGGAAAAAAGGAAGATCATCGAATCATGGGAGATACCCGATGCAATTAAAAACTCCAAGAAGAATAAGCAATAGTTTTAAGGCTATCAGGATCGGATTATATTGGGGCAAGTGAGGGGAACGATTTGTCGAATGCATGCGCAACTTGCGAAGTAACCTTCCTAACAATAATATTTCAATTCGAATGGTTGCTACGCTGATGATTTCTTACGCTAGATGCGTCTTCCTCGTTTACACAGCTTCCCATCAGCTTGTAACTTCTTTTGTTCTCAAAGCACAATGTATCATGTTTGATATCCTTGTCTTTGCAAACCAAGTGTCAACCTTGGGTTGAACCTATGATAGCGAAAACTGACAACAAAACATGCTTAATTGACATTTTTTTTGTTGGATGTAAGCCCAAATCCACATCATGTTCTGAGGAATGAATCAAGCTCTGTAGCTTGTAGTAGTATAATTGTTACTTGAGTCATGGTAGATTTATTCTATATCCTCTTGCTGTTATTGATTCCACAATGATGTAAAGGGGTTTGATGCTTCTTTCTCTGCTGACGGAGAATCGGTTATGCTCAAACTACCTTCATTTATTTACATGATGCTACTAGCAGTAAATGAACAGCAGTTTACCCTCAAACTTATCAAAGAAATTACTAGTAAGAGCACAAGAACCAATACTGACAAATGAAAAGAAATAGTAGGTGTGTACAAGGGATTTATATCAAAGTATTTCTTCAAAATAGCATCTCTAGAAACTTGTCAAGCACACTTCTTGACTTTGTGTGCCTCACAAACCACCAGTCAATGGATTTTATTACTTCTTCTTCTTCTTCTTCTTCTTTGCCTTCTTCTTGCTTCTTTCTGGTGGTTCCTTGTTCTCAGGTCATAGTATGGTATCTTGTTATTTACTGTTACTAGTACTAGTAGCATGAATCTCAAAGAATGTGTATCATGATGTTCAGAATAGATTGCCTCTATCAGAGCAGGCAGCCAGTAATACAAACTTTCTTGTTGTTGTTACTAGTACTACTAGAACTACTTGAAGAATGTTATGCATATATGAAATATGAATAATGGTGCTGGTGTCCATGACAAAACCTCATGTAAAGTACCAGCAGTAGTAGTACTATTTGGAGGAACAGTCAGTGGATACTTGTTGTTGTTGGTTCTACTGGAGATGAAGATATTCCCAGTATGGCAACAACAACTCTCAGCAAAATTAATAGATATGGGCTCACCTTTTGGCATGTGCAACAACAATATCTGGATAAAGACAACAAGTTGTTGTTGTTGTTGTTGTTGTTGTTGTTGTTGTTGTTGTTGTTGTTGTTGTTGTTCCTTGTTGCGCACTCCCAGTACTATTCTCTTCTTCAGCATCCATTACTCTAGTAAGGAGTTCTTCCAAGGCAGCAGCTTGACCTCCTCCATTTACACTGCTATTATCATCAGAGTCGTCTCCTGGTGTGCATCCTGCTGCTACTACTGCTGGTGCTCCTCCACCACCAGTGCTATGACCACCACTAAGGCGACTGCATCCTCTGCCAGGTCCTCCTCTGCTGCTGGACCCCCTGTGTCCTCCAGTTGCTGCTGTTTGCTGCTTATCAATCTCCTCTTCACGTACTTCAAGTGCAACTCTAAACAAGATTTTGGGGGGAAGGGGAGGCGCTGGTTGTTGCTGCTCCTTGCTCCTTGTCCTCCTTGTCCTCCATGTCCTCCATGTCCTCCATGTCCTCTGCTTGCTGCTGCTGCTGGTGGTGGTGATGGTGTCATCTTGCTTCTGTTTCTTGCTAGTAGTGCTGCTTTTAGAGCTGGTGCTCTAAATAAGAAGAATGTGGTGTTGCTGCCGCTTTTACTACTAGTAGTAAGCTGGTGCTGGTACTCGGAATAATGTTGCACATTTTTTGTCCTTTGTCGAAGTTTTCTTTTGCACCTCTGAGGTGTATTATTGCACTGTATATGTACATTTTAGAGGGAATCAACAGTCAACAAGAATGCACCTCAAAAGGCTAATAAATCTGACCAGTAGTAAGAAAAGACTCAAGAATACCATTCTTGTTGTTATGTAATTTCAACACAAATAAATGTATAATGTTGCAAAAATAGGGGTATTAGTCTCATCAGTAGCTACATAGCGATTTATGGGGTAGGGCATATTTAGTAGTATTGTTTTTGAGGTGTGTTGAGGCAGTTATGACAATGCAATTTTAGTTGGATTTTGGGAATACAGTAATAATGAATTTCACTTCTGGTTTTGTCTTGGCGAGCATGTTGTAGTAGAAGAGTCTTGTAGCTAGGAATCTACACGACGAACACAGACAAACCCGCATTAATCTTGTAGTACATCCGCCACGATTATCGTTCCGTACGGCACGGTTACCGGTCACAACCGCCGGTCACAACCGGCCGGTACGGTACGAAAGCTGTTTTTCGAGATGTTTTGTTTTTTTAAGGAAAATACAAAATACAGTACAGCAACATGAAATCACTCATGTACGATCGTACAGGTGGTAGTACCGTTGGTAGGTAATACGAAGGTACTGTACTACATACGCTACGATGTCCGTCGTATGTGCCGCTAAAATGTACGTGCGGTTGGTTACCGTACAATCCAGTACGTCGTTTCATTAAAAAATTTCTGTACGGTACTTTTTCCCAGAGCTGAGTAAGAGGAAAGGAATGGGTTCTCATCAGTTCCGTATTTTAGAGTACGTCAGTGTCTCCGATTTTAAGAAACAATTTTATTTTCAGACAGGATTCCTTCACAAGGATTCCATTTTACAATTTAAATTAAACAATATCGATAAGTTTTTGCTTACACGTCATCGAGAACTCAATCTGAACGGAATTTTAATAGAAAATGGGTGGCTAAGAGCAGCTAACCGCACATATCACACACATTTACTAAGACTGAAACGACACGCACACACATCATCAGAAAGACTAAGGGATGGCCATCAAGGAACGCCTGATGCACGCGAAGACCTTCAAGAACGGAAACTAAACATCAACTTTTTTCGAACACATCATACTACAATTGTTCATCGTAACAACAAACGTCGGGGTAACTTCTATAGACAAGAGAAAGAGACAGACAATGATGTTTTCCAGAACAGTTCTAGTATTGGCACTCGCATCTACTGCGAGTGCTTTCACTCCTTCTGCCCGATCTACGGCACAACAGGTAAGATTTTGGAAGAAAAACGTCGTTCGTTACGAACGTCTTACGTGTGAGGATTCCTCCAGGGCAAGCAATATTTTTTCTTGAGAAATACAACGCAATAATAATGTAGCAGTAGACGATGAGTGAAGATTCAATTAGAACCAACGACAATGAACATGTTATGAACGGCCTTGGATCACTCGGAACAGGCTATCGTGATGATGGGAAACTACGTCAGTACGGCATCTCAACGTACACTTCAGTACTATTTTCTACGATGCGTGAAAACATTTTTATGGAGATCTAATGAGGGAACTCATCTATTTAAATCGAGAAGACGGATAGGATAAGAGTTCGGATAGCAGACAAGCTGCAAGAAGAAGATAGAAATCGAGCTGCCTCGAGAGAATTAGGTGTACTTTCCTTCTAGCGCTCGTTGTGCCAAACATTACGTACGCGCGATTACCGAGTAGCCCCCCTTCCCATCGCAAATCATATTATACATCACCACTAACGTCATTCCTGTTTTCTATCATTAATAATTCGCATATGTTACTTTTCTAAAATCAGGTCGGACAGATCGTTGAGGAACGTCAACGATTCCAACCCCAGACATCGGCCATCTTTGTTGGCGATGACGTAATGGATGATGACATTGAGTCCCCCCCCGAAGAGGATTACATTGTCAACGTCGGTGACATTGAAGAAGATGCCGATGACGGAACAGAAGACGATGGTCAACCACCCGCCTGGTACGAATCGCAGCAGCGACTCGAGAAGATGCGAGCTGATGTTCGACGACACGACAACGACACCGGATCGCCTGAATTCCAAGTGGCTGGTATGACTGAACGTATTTCTTACCTGACAAAGCACTTGCAACAGCATCCTAAAGACTTTTCCACTCGTCGTGGACTTGTTGCCATGGTAAACAAGCGTCGTCGCCTTCTAAACTACCTATTCAAAGAAGACCAAGACCGTTACGTCGCCGTTGTCCAATCATTGGGCATCCGTCACAAGCCACCTGGCCGATACGACAGAGAAGAGCAATATTCGTCGTACCCCAAGCAAAAGGCAGTCAAGAAGCACTTGATGAAGAGAAAATAAGAATTGGGACAATAAGAGTTAATGTCGAGAGGCACTGCGTACCTCCTCACTTCCAGCCGTACCGAATTACTGCTACGAACCACACTAATGAACAACAGCACCCCAGTATAAGATTTTTGTGCTGTTCTTTACTCACGGGTGTCGTGTAACAGCATCTTTACATCATAGCCCTTCAAAATAAAATAAACGAAACTTGCCTCCTGTAATTTTGGCACGACAGTATTGTGTGGTATCATGTATTGCTTATTCATGCAAGGGTTTGGCATCACCAAAACAGAAATTTAGAACGAGTGAACACAACCTGTAGCGGTGCAGAGATAAGGATCGAAGTCAGGGCAGACACATGTACGGTACATCAACGAGCGCTAAAAGAATGCATTTTCCAGCCCTATTCAGACTTTCAATCTTGTTTCGTTTCAATGGAATTACTTATTTAAACGAAGAAAGTTTTGTGACGCCAACTAGTTGATGGTCAAATCCATGGTCTGAAGTATAATAAAAGAGAGAAAAATTATCAGAGAAACACGTTATCGAAACGTTTCTCGCACTTTTTACTCTGCTGGTCGTTTTTCTTCTTCCATGCTAGCTTCAATCTCATCTACGTGTGCTTGGATAGCGCTTTCCTCGAGCATCTCCTTCACTCCACCTTGACGGACCACGCACACTTGCATAGTCTTCGCCCCGCTATCTACTACCTCTAGTAACGCCTGTACGGCCAATCGGACACTCTTTTCCTCGGTAAGTTCTTCCTGCTCGATTTCTTGATACTGTTTTTCCAAAAATTCTCGCAACGATTTCGAGTTGCGTCCTCCAATAACCTGAGCTTTCCACCTCGAGTGTGTTCCTGCAGGGTCTGTCTGGTACAAGTACGGTTTTAGCCCCTTGTCATCATCGTTGACGCCCGCTACTAGAGTGGCAATCCCAAAAGGCCGCACTCCTCCCTGTTGTGTGTACTTTTGTTGAATTCGAGCAAGGTATCGAGCCAAATAGTCGGCCGATGGAGCATCCTCCATGGTTAATCGGTACGACTGCGCCTCCAAACGGACCTTGTTGATTAGGACACGGGCATCGGCAGTTAGGCCGGCAAAAGCAAGCACGGTTCGATCATCGATATTGGCAATTTTTCGAATGGTTCGAGAATCTTGGAGTCTGACGGTACGAGGTTTGCAAAGGTTATTTGCAATCAAATGATTTTAGTTCCAAGAAAAGAAATCAGAGAAAAGCGGAACAATTTGGTTCAATGTCGAATTGTTAACAATACCGTAATCAAACACAACGCCAAGCAGAAGAAAATTTGTGAGAAAGGACCTTTCATAATTTAACTCGCCACACAATTGAGCAGCAAAGACCGACGCATTCGGAAAAATGACGATTCATTTTATACATTTTGCGTGCCAGAACCATCAAAGTCCGCTTCCTTTTCGATGCACACTCACTTCGCAAGGGCTCTTTTTTCGACGGCCAGGACAACGCAATCGTTTCCTTGGATTCCAACAACAGTTGATCCTCTTCGGACGGCCTCCATGGAATATTCGACCTGCAACAGGTGTCCATCCGGACTAAATACAGTAATGGCACGATCATACGACATGGTGGTTGATGCTGGATTCGCGTTTTGTTTTTGACTGAATAAAGATGTGGATGTTTATGGTACACGTATTCCAACTCGAACGATTCCGATCCAAGAGACAGCTATGGAGCGAAAACAGTACGGTATTGTTTTGTCAAATTGTTCTGGTCTGTCTACCGGTAGTAGCATCAAGAAGAAGCAATCCCTGATCTTGTCACAGCCAAGCTTTGCCATATTTTCGAGGTCTTTCGAACAGTTTCGATCCTTTTATCTCTATCACTAATACAAATATTTTTTCCAGAGCAGATATATTTGGGGGTCTACTTTAGGGTGGTATTCAAAATCAATTTATCAAAAAGAAGCAAAAGTTATTGTTGAAGTTTTACTGCGAACTTACACGTTGAAGGACGTGAATCTGTTACGTTTTCGTAGCATGAAATTTCAAGAAAGTAAACAACGACACCAGTACGAGTACGTACAGGATTTCTGAACTGAAGAAGAATTACAGGTACGACAGCTATTTCGAGCATGGATTAGTAGATACGTAAACAACGTACGCTTTGTTTGTAGAGCCCGACAGCGGTTGACAAGAAAACACGATGTTCTTCACTTCGACGAAGCAATAGTCTCCCTTTCGTACGATCTTGATCCGGAGAAAGCTTTTGACAGCACCGCTAACAACCCGAAGCAAGCACCAAAATATCCAATACCAAAATGAAATTTACTAGTTCAACTTTGGCTGCCGTTGTAGCCCTGGCCTTCGCCGCTACATCGACCACAACGGAGGCTTTCGCTCCCACGGCTTCCTCCGCCAGAACTACTCGACAATGGGCAACTATTGCGGAAGAGGCTGCGACCGATTTCGATTTGGGCGAATACGTCATGAGCAAACAGCCAGTCCTGAATGCTATGCTCCAGGAAACCGTCAAACCAAACCAGCCCAATACCGAATTGGTTAGCGAGTGCATGGAATATTCTTTGATGGCCGGTGGCAAACGTATCCGACCCGTCCTTTGTTTGGCTGCCGCAGAAATGTTCACCTCGAAGGAAGAAGCAGAAGCAGTTGCCCTACCGACCGCAGTTGCCGTGGAAATGATCCACACCATGTCTTTGATGCACGATGATTTGCCGAGCATGGACAACGACGACTTGAGAAGAGGCAAGCCAACTAGCCACGTAAGTTTAAAAATCGGTTTGATGATGCGACCGATGCCACAATGAGTGTCATATTCACTGAGTGGGCGACGTCAATTGTTTTCTTTTACTACTGCTTTCAGTTTTGTATTCTCACATTGCATCAAATTTTTTACCACGAAATCTGAAATGAAAAAACAAAACAAAACACCGATGCAACAACTATTTCTTCCTCCATCTTGTAGGTCGTATATGGAGAGGACTTCGCAATCTTGGCCGGAGATGCCATGCTAAGTACCAGTTTCCAGTGGATTGCCGAAAAAACCCCTCAGGACAAAGTTGACGCCTCCAAAATCTTGGATGTCATCACGCGTGTCGGAAAGTGCGTCGGAGCCGATGGTCTCGTAGGTGGTCAAGTATTGGATTTGCTGTGTGAAGGCAGACGTGGAAAGCGAGATGTTTCCGTTGATGATTTGGCATGGATCCACACACACAAGACCGCTGCCTTGCTGAAGGTTTCTGTTGCATGCGGAGCTCTTTTGGCGGGTGCCACAGAGAAGGAAGTCGAGGCCTGCGAGATATTCGCAGAGAAAATTGGTTTGGCGTTCCAGGTTGCGGACGACATCTTGGACGTGACGGGATCGACAGAGGATCTTGGAAAAACGGCAGCCAAAGACTTGGTCGCAGACAAAACTACATATGTTAAACTCCTAGGATTGGATGGGGCACGTGCCGAAGCGCAAAGACTGACGGATGAAGCCAAGAAAGAATTAGATATTTTCGGAGACCGCGCCATTCCATTGTTGGCCTTGGCAGACTACATCATCAACCGAAAGAACTAAATTAAAGACACTGCGATAGATATTGATTAAAAATATGCATTCATAATAAACAATAGGACTGAAGAATATAAAAGGTAAACCTCTATCGAACCAAACAAGCGATATCGGAAATTTCAAAATAAACCAAGTGCACTGTGCTTCGAATTCTTTTCTATCTACTTTGCCTCTAAATTACATTCTCTCATTAGTTCCGTCTCATGGTGCAAGATGTATGCTAATTGTCATTTTCTATTTGCTTTGCCACCAGATCTCTGAATTCCTGTTCTTCTTGTAGCTCTGATTCTGTCGGCTCTTTCTCGTCATCGTCATCGTCATCGTCATCGTCATCATCCTCGTCGTCGTCGTCTGTCTCACCGCCTGGCTTTATTGCCACCAAAATCCAGCTTCCTTCATGCGCTTGTTCGCTGTGCAACATCAGACCGGCCATGACCATGGCCGTGCGGATGGAATCCACGTCGTTTGCCTGCACTGGCATATCCTCGGCCAAGACAGCAGATTCAGGCAGGACGTGAACGTTGACTTCTTTTCCCGGAATCAGTCCTTCGTAAAACGATGTTAGAATGGATTCATCAAACAAGGATGATACAGATGACGATTTCAAGAGGAGATGAACCGATTCCAAAGAATTTGGTCGGATAGAGCTCGACGCTTCTTCTAACACACCAGACATTTCTTCCGGAGATTGAATCTTCAATGAAAGAATATCGGATGTTGCGACCGGCTCAAAATTCATGGATCCCAGCATAATAACAGCTGTTGTTGGTGCAAAGTCGTCGTCATCGTTCTTGATTTTGGCGGCAACATCAACATTGTCGTTGTCGTCGTTACTTGGGTCTGCCATGTTTGTGCTTCTAGTTCTAGGCAAACTTAAATGTTGATGAATAATGATTTTTTCTTTCTTTGCAATTACTATAATTTCGATTCTCATAGCGGCGAAGGGATGTACTTGTAGTGGGCAACTTGTTTATTTTATTGGTTGATTCCCGTTAATAGAAATGCTAAATTTGACAGACAGACAGACCAAAAATCTACTACTAGTACATATTTTGTTACAGATTTAGCATTTTTTTAATGGGTCGTTGGACCCCATCCAAAATGTGCTAGATCTATGATTGAAGCCAAGAATCACAATTTTGAGTCCGTTGTATGATTCAACAGAAACAGCACCAGAATCTTAACAATAATTGGCAAAATTAAGACTCTGCTATCCTAAACAAGAACAAGAACAAGAAATAGAGGCGCCTCTAGTATCATGACACATACTGAACTATGTCCTGATCAATGCTCTTAGTCAGAACACTCTATTCCCTTTCTTTGTTGCAGCAAAGAGAGCAACAAGAATATGAGGAGGAGGCTGGTGACCACAAAGAGGCCAAAGAGGCCAAAGAGGAGGCAGCTCATTGTCCAATCCTCCTGCACCTCCACACCATTTTCATAAAGATGGATCAAACTGGCAATGTCGGCTGCAGGACCAGTACAGTAAACTACTCATTTCATATGCTAACTGGTCCCATGAGCTTGATATTGGACATGCTCCCTATTGACACTGAGGGCTGGGATGTGCTTGTGGTGGTAAAGCGTGCTGAGAGTTGGCCTAGTACTAGTAGTATAGGTAGAACCACCAAGATCAAGACTAAGTATGCAGCTGCTAAAAGATTGAGTCACCAGGGTATACATGAAAACCATAAAGAAACAGCTTACAACTCAGCTTGTAACAAGATCCCCCCCCCCTGGCTCAGTTCATTATGTGAACATGAGTAGTGTTTGCAAACAAACAAAGTACTGCTGATTAAATCAAGGCTGACGAGGAAAGCAACCACCATTGTGGCTCTCTCCACCTGTGAGCATAACGTTTGCGTATCAATTCCTTTTGATTGTATTGAAACCAAATTGTTTGCGTAGCAATTGCTGTATCTTATTGATTGTATTGAATCAAACCGTTGCCGTAATCCAAATCGGTTGCTGTATCGATGATTCTAACTCTAACTACTAAACTTCCTTCATTATAAACAACCACAGCAACCAATTGACAATGTGATTCACCCTCAGAACACCTCGTTTCCATCAGGGGAGAGCCCACGTCCTACATAGAAAAGTTAGCTAGATTTGCAAAGCTGCTGTTGCCTCAAACAATGAGGAGTGTTGGGGATAGACATGAGTGGTTCTTTGAGATCTACTACCGGACAGTAATGAAGAGGGAAAACAACTACACTCCTTGCACTCAATGTGCCAAAGAATTTTCCCATGATGAGTGGGTGTTGTCCGTAGGATATCAGACCGTGGGTATGATTCATACATACGACACGTACATACGATACGTATCTA